CCCCTTAGCTTGTCAATAAAAGAATGGGCTGGACGAAGTCGAGCCAACACCCGGCGAGTTGCAAGATGCCGATTAGGGTTTAGGGTAGGGGTTTAGGGGTTAGGGTTTTAGGGTTTAGGGTTTTAGGGTTTAGGGGTTTAGGGGTTTGGGGTTTTAGGGCTTCTGCTTGTGGCTTTACGGCTTCGTTGTTTTTAGGATTTCGGGTCTAGGGGCCTAGGGATCAAGACGAAGCACAACTTACTTGTAGGTTCAAACGGGAGTCCCACTGAATGGGTCCTGGGAGGAATTATCAGTCTCCTCAGTTAGCCTGCTTTTTTCATGCTCTGGCCAAACCCTAAACCCTAAACCCCTAAACCCCTTAAGCCCTAAACCCTAAAACCTAAACCCTAAAAGGCTACAACTCCGAGGATTCCGGACGACTCGGGCATGTGCTTCTTGCGAGAAAGACGTAGTAACAGGTTCAGGGTTTAGGGTTTAGGGTTACAGTATCTCTATCTGTCTGCCTGCCTGCCCGGCTGCATGGCTGTTGATCTACCTGCCACTGTAAGTGTGTATGATGCATGCACTGATATATATGTCTGTACATGTGCATGCATGTGTATGTATGTGCGTGTACACGTGGTTGTATGTGCATGTATGTGTATGCATGTGTATGTACGTGTATGTATGGATGTAAGTACGGATGTATGTGTGGATGTATGGATGTTTGTATGTAGGGTGTAGGTAGGTAGGTAGGTAGGTAGGTAGGTAGGTAGGTAGGTAGGTAGGTAGGTAGGTAGGTAGGTTGGTTGGTTGGTTGGTTGGTTGGTAGGTAGAGCGGTGCGTATGTACGTATGTATAGAGAGCACAAGACATCCTGCATGGGCATATCATATGGCATTGTACAGTGTCTGTGGCACCCGACGCCACCGCTGTGTCGCCTTGAGATGCACTGAGTGCGAAACACACAAGATGCAATACACAATACGTGTACTGATGTGTTCATTGTACCTGTGTAGGCTGCACTACCACCTTCGCTGCACCAAATTCTGCTGCCGACACACGTATGTTGCTAGCACTTCTCATGAACCCTTTGCACACCTTTGCAGGGAACTGCATGCGCTCTGCACCACGCGCTTTCCATCTGCAATGTGTGCATACAGATGAAAGCGGATTTGCACATCGGGGCTCAGGTCGGAATGCAATGTGCATGTAGGTATACGTGGCTGCATCCGTGTGTGCAACCTGCATGCCGCAAGGCTGTAGACTCGAAACGCTCTTCAGGCTGCAATGAAGATCTTTCATGCCGCGGCTTCTGCTGCACATCAATCGTAAATTCCAATTCAGCCGCTGCTCGGAGAGCAGCGTGCAAAAAACTGGCAGATCAGCGGCAATGCATGGCTGAATTTGCAAAACTCGATTCTGCAGAGCGTGAGGATACCGTAAGGGCTCACTCCTGTGTCCGAGTTTCGTAAAGAAAACGGAAAGCCTAGTTGAAGATCATGTCTACCAGAGAAATCTACAGTCACTTCAGTCAGCGGAAAGCTTCAACCCAAACCCTAAGTCCTAAACCCTAAACTGTAAATCCTAAACCCTAAACCCTAAACCAACTACAAGACCCAAGGTCGGCTGGAAGCTCACAGAACGGTAACCGACCATCTGCATCCCGGACACCAACACCAATAACATCTTGCCCCAACCCCGATAGACCCTAAACCCTAAACCCAGACCCTAAATAAGTAAGCGGTTATCTCTATCAAATGGCATGACATAGAACCGACACCCTCCAGAAACCAAAAGACTGCATCCTCCTTCGCAGGGCCCTATGCACCCGAAAATGCACATTGCCGCCGTAAGTCCGAGGCTGCCTCTGCCCAGCCTAGCTAAACCTTCGGCTTCGAGTGGCTAAAAGCGTGTCAAAAAAGCTACAACAACGGTTTCTAACGGCTTCAAGCAGTTTTGAAGTTTGCAGTTTCGGGCTTTAGGGTTTAGGGGTTCAAGGCTTTAGATTCAATTTGTTTTGTCGGTGGTTAGAGCTGGGGTTCTAGAGACTTGAAGGGTGTTGGGGGTCCGGCAGTTACTGGACGCTAACGAGGCTTGCAATAAAGGCCATTACAGATATATATATATATATGTAGACATATTGTATGTGTATATATATATACATACAACTAATATATATATATATGTATATATATATATATACATATGGCATCATGTATTGAGTCTTGATAGGGCTTCTGCGACCAACAACACCTTGAGTGGTGCTTAGGGCTTAAGGTTCAGGGCTTCAGATGTAGCCCCAGTGTCTGGGACTTCAGTTAGAAGCAAAGATGCAAGTTCGCAAGCCCTAAACACTGCGATTCAAGCACCGCGTCGAGTGGGGATACCGTGACCCTAAAATCCTAGCGTATGACCCATCTATCTAGTCCCCCGATCCCGAATCAGGATTAACAAGTCAAGTGGCTATGGCTTAGGGCTTCTGTGCTGAGGGTGACAATGGTCTTGGCGTGTGGGGCTAGGTAATTCTAGCTGAGGGCAGAATTAGTCGTTTGGGATGAGGGCTTCAAGCTCTAAGCCTGTAAACCCTAAACCCCCAGAATATCGAACCCTGAAAAGTTTGCAGGTGATCTCGGGTACAATGCGCGACGGCCAAAGGAAAATTCCCGGTTAGCTCTGAAAACCCTCTGAACATATTCGTTCATGAGATCCTCCGACCCGATGAAGGAAAACATCATATGTCTCAGTCTCATTGGCCTGTCTCTTTGGGGACGACCGCTGCTGCCCGAGGACATCTGTATATGGATTTGTAGTATAGGATATAGGGCTCCTGCGTTTCCTTCTTTTAAGGTCGAGGGGTTGAGTATTTATCCCCTGTTTCCGGTCCTTACCTACCTGCAGCCGCGCTTGGGGTGACGTCCTGCTTTTCACTAGAAGAGGCTTCCATAAAGGTCCGTAAAACTATACATTGTATACTTCAGCCTGCCTTAACTCAACGGCATTCGGCATTCGTTTATAGGTGCTGTAGGGCCAAGGTCAGCACTCTACATTTTGTGGCATCTTGGTGGGGTTTCGACTACAAAGTTTCGGGCAGGGCATAGGGTTTAGGGTTTAGGGTTTAGGGTTTAGGGTTTAGGGTTTAGGGTTTAGGGTTCAGGGCATGGAACTATGGTGTTGTCCAGGGTAACTTCTGATGGTTGGTAAGTTGCCTAGGGTTTAGGGTTTGGGGTTTGGCCCTAAACCCTAAACCCTAAACCCCAAAACCCTAAACCGTCTGTTTCCAAGGCAGGTATCGAGGCAGAAGCATTCTCGAATTCTTGTTGGAGATCGAGCAACCTCGCAACAATGCAGATTCAGCAGGTAGTAGCGAACATCCAACGCACTGCAAATATGGGATGCGAATATAAGAACCCTCAGGCCCCGTAGCCCTAAGAATTTTTGGTTCGCTTGTGACGCTCTTGCATCCACACAAAATTTCTAAACAAGGATCCAAGAGGGTCTATGCACACTACTATTATGGAATTCGGCACCCCAAAACCATGAACAGAATGGTCTGTTGGGGTCTAATCCCTAAACCCTAGTTCTTTGCACTCTCGAAAAAAGATAGACAGGCTACAGTTTCTCTGATAACCGAAAGTCAGGGCTGCCATCCATCACGGACTCAGATAAGACTACTGCCATGCCAATCCTAGCAGGGAGCAACAAGCAGAATGTAAACCCAAGGCTGCGAAACCTCGATTCTGGGTCGGGGTTTCACAGCTTGAAGTTTACCTGTAGGCCCCCAAAACAGTTCGTTTTTGTGGCTTGTATTTAGGATCCTACGGCATAACGTAATCCCAAGAAGGAACTACACGGGAGCCTATGGGAAACTACATTCTGTCTGTTGCGTCCTGCTAAAATTCAGCGCCTCAAACGTCAGAAGCTGCAGTCCTACACTCTCGAGCTTGTAAGATGCAAGCCCCCACTTGCCCCAACAAAACCCCAAAGAGGTTCTCAGCGTATAAGTCTCACTGCCATGGCCATAATCATGACATTCCCAGAGTTAATCCCGGCCACCATCTTCTTCCTCATTAGCATGCCGCACATCGCCGTATGGCATCATCAGCGCTGCACTGCGCATCATAGAACTGCAGCAGCCGATGGTCTTCATGCGTGCAACTTCTATCACCGTGCTTGGAGGTAACAACACCCGTGTCACATTTGTAAGTGTAGAGCGCTGAGAACTCGCAATACAACTGGGCTAACTGCAGAAGATTCCAGATCCCTCTTTTGCAGACGGTTGGTGTCGCCTTGTCTTGCTTTAGCACAGCACCTTATTTCGCCGGACACAAACAGCATCGCCAGGCTTTCTGCGAGGCGCGGCAGTTGTGCCCGTTAAGGACGCGCAGAACGCGATACGTCATGTAGGCGTCTTCACCCTAGATCCCTAAACCCTAAACCCTAAACCCTCTCCTAACTCCTAAGCCCTAAACCCTAAACCCTAACCCGAAGCCCTTCCTGGCATGGGGCTTCATATGGGAGTTCCCGAAATTTAAGAGGTACCTGTTCTGGGGTCCTTATAATAATGATCCTACTACTTGGGGAATTACTTTTGGGAAACCGCTACAGCAATATCCATGAATTTAGAGGGTGTATAAGTCAGGGGACTCGTTTGGGTACAGCCCAAAGCTGTAGCACAAAGGGCTTGACTGGAGCCTTGGTGCAAAATGCCAAAAGCTTTTTCGTTTTTCGCAGGGTTCTGTCACCCTAAACCCTAACTTAAGGCTTAGAAAGCAACACCATGGCACAATAACTCTACTGGGCTCTTGCTCGCCTGCTGTCGCCGTTCCGTACCAACTGCGGTAGCCCAGCACGTCAATGCATATCGGCGTTTCTAACAAGACATCCGTAATTTTTACCCTCAATTTCTGCAGGCGCTATCCTGGCAAAGCGGGAAAAGCCTATGCTTCAACCGCATTTGGTCAGTGGCCAAACCCCAAACCATAAGCCCAGAATAAAGTCAAAATCTTGCTCCGCATCACTCACTGGCTCATTTCATGGGGCCAGGGTGGAAAATCAGCTAAGCCTCGGCTCTTTGTGACACTTGTGTCGTGCAGGCTTCGCGGGTTTAGGATTTCAGGGGCTATACGTGCACAGTCTAGGACATTTTCACAAGAAGTTACCGTTATAGGAGCCTTATAGAAGGTCTATATACCTTATAGAAGCCTTATAGAAGCCCTATATGCCCTAAACTCCCCACCTGTAGTTTCCTTTAACATAAACCCT